AACCAGCCCTTTATTCAGAACCATAATGATTAGAGTCTTTTTAGGGTGAGAGCCACAGCCCAATGGCAGAGCACCTGTTCGGGCCCTGAACATAATTATTGGCACCTCCAGGTAGGGCTGAGAAAGATTTCTGCTGAAAGCCCAGAGAGCTGCTGCCAGCCAGTGTAGACAATAAACCACAGAACAGACAATGCCAGAAGGACCAAGTTTGCATTCCCCCATGTATAAAGCTCAAGGAGCCAGATATTTCTGACACAGTAAGTTCCTGCCTCTTCAATGCAGAGCTGAAGCAAATTATTCTGTAAAGATTCAACATATGTCAGATGTTAACATTTGCCCCCTTTCAATAGGGATTCACTCCCCAAGTGTGAAAGTTTACCTCAGGATATTGAGGTAAACGTTACCTCAGAATATTGAGGTAAATTTTACCTCAGAATTTTGAAATTTGAGTACTGTTGCTTGGCAGGTACCAAATGCATGCTCTGACCAGCCACCATCTCCCTGGAACCATCCGACACAAACCATCATCTCACGGTCAGAGGTGCAATCCTGACAAGTGCAAAACCTTATTCCATGTCCTCCTCTATCATTGTTGGGTTGGGTTTTGCCTTGTTTGGCTAACTGCTTTGTTTCCCTGTCGTGAGCCACCCGGAGAATTTTGTAAGGGCGGCCCACAAAGATGGCTGACAAATGTCCACTCCTAATCAAATACGTTTTGTCACATTTTTGAAGATAGGCATCATGGGATTCCAGATGGAGCAGCCAACAATCAGGTGAACACTGAGCAAATGTCACAATTGCCAAGGGGTGATGTGTAGAGTATTCAGCATCCAAACTGACAAGAGGAGAATTTTGAGGTGAATTTTTCAGGAGTAAATTAGTTTCGGTCCTACTTGCAAACGGTGAACCCATTGAGGGAATGTATTGCATTCTCTTCACCACCCAGCCCCAAAAGTGCATGGCTACACCTCCTCTCCTCCCAGTTATTAGGTAACTGTCAAAAAAGATAAAGCAAATCAAATCCCGTCGACAGGCAGCCATGTTCCATTTAGCCTGCACAAAAGACAGACTTTTCCCCCTTTCATTCCCCCCGCCATGTTCATTTCACCCCCCCTGCAGCATCAATAATTCATGGATTTAAAAGGGAAAAAAGATGATAACCAGTAAGAAATTTAAGCAGCAGATGCTCTCTCTCTCCATTAGAAAAAGAGAAATAAGTCTCAGTTCGGGGGTGTTATTTTTCTTTAAAATATTTCTGCTTTGTTCTGTAAGGACAATGGCGCAGCGCTAGTGTTTTGACACTGCGGATCTTATAACAGCCGCTGGTGACATGTTAGCTAACAAATTGGCACAAATGACCATGGTCGAAATAATTACATGGTAAGGAGAGGCGAATCAGAGAACAAATCTCCGTCTATCAGGTCCAGGAAAGACATTGTAACAAAAGGGAGATATGTAGATGTTTTGCAAATTAATCAGCTTTAATCATCCCTTTTTAAAAACTGGAGGACTTTACTGAAAGGGCACTGGTGCCAGCTAGACCCCAATTAAAGCGAATAAGGGAGGATTAAGGACACAATCTGGTAAATGCATTTAGCACCAGGGAGTGAGTGCAATTGACTATGGTGCAACTTGCTTCTGAGTAAACATGTATAAGATTGCACTGTAAATAGTTGAAGTCCAAGTACTAGAGGGTTTAAACCCACATTCACACCATGCATTTAAAGCACTAGGATACCATTTAAAACAGTCATGGCTTCTTCCACCAAAGAATTCTGGGAGCTGTAGTTTGTTAAGGGTGCTGATAGTTGATGGGAGACCCCCTATCCCCTTCACAAAACTACAATTTCCCGGAGTTGTTTAACAATCAAGCCCTCTTCACAGGGAAGTCTGGAAATTGTAGCTGTGTTGAGGGAATAGAGCTCTCCTGACAACTCCTTGGCACTCTTAAAAAACTGCGACTCCCAGAATTCTTTGGGAGGAATCCATGACTGTTTAAAGGTGCATGCTGTGAATGAGGCCTTAATGATCCCAGTGTGGTTAGAGCTTGCATTGAATAACACAATAGCTGCTTTATCTTGATGCAAGCTATTAAGAGGAGGTGCTAGCCCTGCATTTTTTTACAAATTCATACCAAAAGGATGATCAACATTAAAGAAGAAGACTGCCTTATTAAGCTATCAGGGGTCTACAGTTGCCACACGTACTTTCAGAGGGCAGTCCTCTACCTGAAGGCTGTCTGGTCTATGAGTGGTTTAAAGATTGAGAACCCTAAGGAGGGAGATCTGGTAAACCTTGGAGTTGTCCGTCAGCAGTTGGCCTCTGGACCACAGACTAAGCAACCACACAGACCTTTTGCTCAGAGTCATGCTGAGATGCCCAGCCTGTCTATTTGAAATACAGGGTTGCATCCAGTGCTAGCCTTGCTCACAGTGGACCCGCTGAAATGACTGGACATGACTTAACTTTGGTCCGTTTATTTCAGTGGGTTTATTCTGAGTCATTGGATATGTTCTGAGTCACTAAATTTACACCTGCCCCTAAAAATTAACATATGCCAACACGATGCAAATCTGTGATTCATTTCTGCTTTCTTTGGGTAATGTGTGAATAGCTACCCTAGAGGGGTATGTAAACACATCACAGGAATAATTAGTGGGTGTTATCACCAACTCCAGATGTCATCTCTGTATAGATACACCACTGACCCATAGCAGAAACACCAACCCTTAATTCCATACTTCTGCATTAATCCTCAAACATATATGGCTTTTGAAAGAACCATGGTTTAATTGTGGTCTACCAAACCCCCAATATCAGGTTTGTTATTTATTTAATTATTTGCAAGCACAGGACAGTCAAGCATTGTTCTTTGGGGGTTGCTTGGTGCAGTACAGCACTGGTGACCATCTCCCTTCATCTCCCTTCCTTTCTCCATCCAGCCATGGCTGAGTGTTTTAGCTGCCCCACCAGCAGAGATTAATTACAAAAGGGGGGAGATACCCTCAAATTCTAGACGAATGCTCTCATTAGTGAGTCTATAGAAAGACTGGGTCGGCAGCTCTGTGAACAGGGATGAAGACCTAAAACAGAATGATGTTCTGGACCCTATATCCAGATGTTATGGAAATTAACCATGGCTCAATGTTGGGGGCTGCTCTTGCAGGGCACATTTGACCCTGAACAGGAGCACCAAACACTTTTTCTTCCTTCCTTCATTCTTCCACGGTCAAAAGCAGCCTGGGATAATTTGAAGGCAGTAGTGGGGAGAGTTGCTGTTGTCCTTAGGTCCTGCCTGCAAGCTTCTCATAGGCACCTGGCTGGCAACTGTGAAAACGGGACCACTGGCCTGACCCAGCAGGGCTCTTTTCTGTGTTCTTATTCATCATACCCTCCTTAGATGGCTTCAAAGGGGAATCAGGGGAAGCCTGCTGTCTTATTTCCAACCAATGGGGTGTGGCTCTGCCTGTCATTGGCTCTGGCTCCACCTACTGTTGGTTTCCCTACCTTCTGCCCCATTAGATCCAGTGAACACAAGCCTTGCATGTATGCTGTGCTGAGTCATTGTCTTGTACACTGGACACGGATCAGCATGCAAAAGACTGGCCCTGATTTCCCTACCTGGTTGGCACTTGGGAGACTTCAGCAGAAGTGGGATTTTGGGTTGCCAAAATCTGATTTAAAAATGACACAGACAGAGAGAGAGTGCAGTGTTTTTCACAAGCTAGCCTGAAGATCTTGCCATTGCTCCCTGTTACGGCTGTATAATCCACTCGACAGCTAGCTAATCCTTCCATCGTCTTGCTCAAGCACAAACAGCAATACACAGAGCAAAAATAAAGAGTCAAGGAAGCCTCTGTACTCTTGTCCCACCTCACCTATTGCCAAAACATATACAATAATATATTTGTCTGCCTTAGATTTTCCTAAAAGATTAAGAACTCAATGGAAAGGGGCCTTGTGGTAGGAAACCGAGGGGATTGGAGAACAGAAAGGACGCAAAGGGAGAAATCTTTGTCTGCCATTTCCTTTGCCAAGCTATTTTTTAAGTCACGCATGCAGGAATCTGAAAGACCCAGAGGTCAAATCTTAGATTTTGGAAGCCTCCACTGAAGTTGAAAGGATTTACAATGGATTTACGCCACTGCCTTTAATATCTTTTATTTTCACACACCCTTGAGGAGGTAGCATTCTCCATTCTCATCACATACGTGGCCTCTACGCGGTAATTAATGCAAGCTTAGGAGCAATTATTATCTTAAACTGCTAGCTTATTTTCATAATTACTGGCTTAAATGGGTTGTACCAATGTGATTTCTCCTCCCTCTCTTCTATTTGGGCTAAAGCAATTAGATTTGTCTTCATCACCGGTGAAACTCTTGTTTCTTAAGTATTTTATTGGCTTGCTCTCTCAGCAAAGGGCACATAATATTAGGAATTTCAGCAACAGAAGTCTCATCTGGCTTAGACTTTCCAAGGATTAAGGCACAAGTAGTGGGGACACCTCCTTATCCCTCCTCTTTAATAAGAGATGAAGTTATTGACAGCATGTTGCCTTGCAATGGCACTCCCAAACCTGCCACTTAGGGTGGGCTGTCTCTCCCAAAGAAGGACATTTCAGGATTTGAGGTTGCTGGATACAGCAGAACCCTTTCCTCGATTCAGCAGAATGGAATGCCCCCAAAGGCATTAAGTTGTGAATTATGGAGTCCATTAAACAACCAGCCTGGAAGAGGAAAGCAAACCACTACCTTTCATTTCCCCCATTTGAATTCCTCTCTCGCACCCAAAAGCATGCTCCTTTAGCTTCTTCCCATTTAAGCAGATCTGACTCCATTCCAAAACATCCAGCAAAGTTTTATTTTTCCCCTTTCCCAGCTGAACTGAGATGGCCTGTCCTTAACACATAATTCTTCTCCTATCCCCGGTCGGTCTCGCCCGCTGACCGTGCTAAGACCTCCATTTCAACAAGGGCAAAAAATAAACAAAAATAAACCAACCTTTCCACGTTATGGCTCTCGGCATAGAGCCCATCGGAGGCTCCCATCAGCAAGATGAACGACACGCACTGAGCATATGCTCGGCCATTTCCTTAACTGCCAACATGGCCATAAGCAATAAGAGGCATATAGATACCGTGTGCTAAGTGAGGCAGGGGATAGGATGATAGTGGAAGCAGTTTCAGTTCAAGAGGTGTTCTCTCTCTCTGGTCATTGTCATAAAATACTAAGAGGTGGGCAAAGCAAGGATAGGCCTTGAGGGGGAAGTTCCTCCCCTCCGCACGCAGGCACCTGCAGTAAGGTGTGAAGGCTTAAGGTTGGTCTATCCACTCAGGACACGGAAGGAGAGGGAAGGGAGAAAAGAGGACAGCAAGAAGGTGAGGGCTGTAACCTTACCATGGCACAAGATCAAAGCAAATAAGGCCATCATTTTTTAAAAAATAAATAAATCATAAAACGAAAAAAGCTCTCCGTTTTTAAGCCCTCAGCAAGCACACTATTTCCAGCTGTTGGGTACCCATGAAACATAAAACCAACCTATTCGTTACCTGGGTTACAGACCTCATTTAGTTAATCATCACCATGATGACCAGGGCCCAAAAGGAGAGGGGTGGCAGGAAAGGTGTGGGGGAAAGAGGGGGGAGGAAACAAAGAACTTTAAGAAAACAAAAAGCTACTACTTTCTCTATCTGGGATCCCGTTCTTTTATCTGCCCTCATGCCACCCTCCCCGCTGGTCTTTATTCCTCCTTTCCTTTTCTGTAGTACAGAAAGGCCAAGTTTTGAGCAGCGCTTTTCGAACAGCCAGGTATCATTTCTCCTCCAAATGGGAAAGGTGAGGCCTTTGGTTCATACTGCACCAGGTTGCTCAAGGTCCAGAGAGGAATGTGAGTCGAGAGGAAAGAAAAACGGGAGGGGAGGGGGATCCCCGCACTTCTAACTTGTTAGTTAACCTGCCCGCCTGAGCCTTAATCAATAGCCAGGGACTCTGAAAGGAACAAAGAACAAACACAGAAGAAAAGCCGGGCCCTTATCTCAGATCACCATCAGATAAGCCATACCTGGAGTCCAAAGGGACAGGCTGGCCTGTTCAGCCCTTTCCCAGTTCAAGAAGGAGCAAAGGGATGTTTCTGTGGCTTCTCTACACTTCAGTGATAGCATTCTTGCTTTGAATTTATTTTAATTTGTTCCCAACACCATCATTATTTTTAGGAGGCAGAGGAAGAAGGGGAACCAAGTAAACCCTGAACTCTAATCAAAACATGCATCTCAGGGTAATTTTGGAACTAAGTCTCTTTCTGCGTGTCTTAAGGGAGCAAGCCTATGCATGTCTATGCAGAAGTAAGCTCCACTGAGTTCCATGGGATTAGTTCTCAGTTCCTTTAAAGTTGTAGTCCTATACTCACTTACCCAGGGAGTAAGCCCTATTGAGATTCATTGGGACATACTTCCGGGTGGACGTGTACAGCACTGTGCTGTAACAATCTGTTTAGCTAGCAAGCGGTCTGGATTCAGATGGCCCCTGTAATAGACAAGGATGCCTTGCGTCTTTCACCTCTTGATAAACGCATTCCAAAACCTCCAATTAGCCGCTCTTGCAAAAACACACCACACAGAAGAAAGCTCTTAAATTGACATGTGATTGCTTTCCCATTTGCATTAAAAGAAAAAAGAAAATCAAATGTGTTACAGGGTTCCCGATGAGACAGGCAGCCAGAGATCACACACCCTTTGACCTTTCGTTTCAGGAGATTTTGGTAAAGGGGATGTGCGGAAGCCCCAAATTCGTTTGTGAATATTCAGCAGAGAGAGAGGGGGGTGGGGGGAAAGTACCCAATGCAGCCTCTAAAGAAATCCTAAGAGCTCCTCAGAGAACCATCAAAACAAACATTTACCAGCTTCTGGGGAAATGATATTTGCAATTTGCAAACACTTTGTCAGAACGCAGCATGAGATAATTAAGCATATTTGAATTTACAATTTAGATTCTTCTATTAAGGTGGGAGAGGGGGGATGCCCAGCAACCTCATCCTTGTTCTTATTTTATTTTATTTACATCTTCCAATTTCAGCAAAGATTTATTGTTATTATATTATTTGTTTTGCCAGTTTCAATTTTTCTGTCATCACTTGCTCAGGGCAAGCTGTATAAATGCAGGGTGTTTCAACTGTTCACATCAAAACTTCTCTTAAGGCTGCAGGCTTACTATACATACTGATCTGGGAAAATGCTGTGTTAAACACAGTGCCGCTTACGTTCAAGTAAACATGACTAAGATTGCACTGCGTGAGCAGAAACAGGCACCAGCAAGGCTGTATTTGGAGTTTAAACCTTGCTCAGTTTTAAGCCTGGATCAATATTATTTTCAGTAAGTATTGTGGGATTCCCTAGTACAATAGCCTATATATGTGTGTGTGCACGCATGCCATAGGGGACCTCGATATCTCTGAAAGTCTATCCATTGTTAAATCAGATTACAGTCAGAACTCAAGGGGGAATGATTATGTTATACTACCCAGTCAGGCATTGACTTACACAACTTAGTTTTATTTCTAGTTTTAGTCCAACAGATTGAATTTTTTGTTGCGCAAAATGGGCACTCCAAAATTCTCAAAGCTATTTGCTGTGGATGTCAACAGGTTTCTTGATGGGAGGAGGTGAGACAAGTTTTCCCCCCCTCAGAAAATTCTCTTGTGAGAAATTTCAGCTCATTTCATGCTAGACAAAACTGAAGGAAAACTCTGCTGTTAGTTCATATTGGTGGATGAGGGAAGTTGTGGGTAGAGAAAGGAGGATTGGAAGGGGAAAAGGTTCAAGCCCATTACTTCCTTCCACGATATGAAAATAATATCAAAGAATATTAAAACTGGATCCATGCAGATGGTGAAACTGGTCAGGGGTGCATTTAACTGAATTTTCTCCAGGGGAGGACTGAAATTCTCCAACCGTTCAGGAGAAGCATGAAAAATAATAACAATAAACAGTATGTACCAGCAAATTATTTTCTGAGAAATTTCAGCTCCGCTATGGTTGAAAGGGGAAGTTAACAGTATATAAAAATGGAAACTTGTGGCACAAACATGTACATAGATTATTTTCAAAATAAGAAACCCTGGGTTCAACAAGTTAGTGAGTACAAGAGTGCAGCTTTAAAGGAATAGTTGTATTTATAGTTAGAGGGGATTGTAGAAAGCAATCTTTTGATATTTGGATATCTGCTGATAGACTACCAATACATAAAGATTTGTGTCATTCATCAACATTTAGATGAGCTCAACAGCTGCTGCTGTTGTTTTTCTTTTTAAAATAATAATAATAATAATAATAATAATAATAATAGTGATTTTAAAGGTGCAGTCCTCAGCACACCTACTTGAGAATAAGCCCTACTGATGTCAACAGAACTTACTTCCAAGGTTGCACAGTTAAAATTCCAAACTGTTTTGAAAAAAAAAATACTATGTGCTCTTTGTTGGGTTCAGGTCATATTACACTTAGTGGAACTTACTGTACTACTGAGTAATTGAATCCACAAAATTAAGCAACCTACATTTAGCACTCTAACCTGATTTTCACCTAAAAAGGTTTTCTTGGGAGTGTCATGGATTTTCATGAAACATTGCTCTAGGATGGATAGATACTATTTCCCACTGGCCGGGGGGGGGGGGGATGGAACTTACTCCAAAGTAAATATGGTTGGGATCAGGTGCCCATGCTATAATTTAAGTGAGTACTTCTTCAAAGGTAATACCGTTCACGTTGAAGGCACTATTAAGGTGTAGGATCTTATTGATAGGGTTTAAAATGTGAATGTGAGATACTACAGAATTTTAGAGTCGCAGACACGGGGAAAACAGCCGTTTCTGAACTATCTACCAGTTTGGAGGACTGCAGAGTTGTTCATTCAAAAACTGTCCATCATACCTTAGTGTACACATTAAGACCCACATTTCGTTTTCAAATTAATAGCTCTCTAAAGACTGCAATCCTATATCCACTTATCTGGGAGAAATAATCATTGAAACCGGCGGGACTTGTTTCTGAAAAGACTTGGGCAGGAGTGTGCCATAAGCCTATTTGAGGGAGCACCGATGTGTCACAAGTTCCCCATATTTCAGACAAGAGCTCTTTTGATACAGCACAAACAGCTTGTGCTGGTTGCCTTTCTGATAATTCAAAAATATCTGGAAGAGCGGGAAATATATGGAAAGCCCCTGAACGCAACAAATCTGGTAATCTCACCTTTGCCACGAGTTCACTAGAGGGCCTCTACAAAAAGAAAAAAGGAAAAAAAGGAAAGGAAAAAAAGAAAAAACCCACCAAATTTGTTTTTGCAAATTGATTTTAGCAAATGCCTTATCCTGCATTCTCATCTGAAAGGTGCCCTGAATAAGATTGCATCCTCAGACTCATGCCCCCGCACCCCGCTTTTGCAATATGGAAATGATAATACTACGGCCGTAAGGAAGGCAACAAGATCATATATGTGTGGAACGCCTGAAACGTTCAAGAATGCTACATTCCTGCTAAGTATTATTATTACCCATTCAAACCCAGGTAGGAGTTTTGACCTTGAGTTCAGTGAGATATCAGCCTGGAGCAATCCTATAAACTTTCTAAGGCTTATGCAGGCACAACAGGATAATGGCCCCATTAAATATCGGCACTAGCCATGCAGTACAAGTCTAAGCTTCCTTACTCAGGAGTAAATCCCTAGTAAATCCCTAGACTTACTCCCTAGTAACTGTCTGAAGAACTGCAGCTTTAGAAGCAGGTTTATATTGGAGAAGGGCTATGTGGAGAGGGATGAAATCTAATTAACGGGCTTTGATGGAGGTAAATATAAAAGAAGTTAGCCCTGCTGACAGATCCCTTCTTTTTCTGTAATCATTTTCTCCTGGCTTCTGTGTTGAAATGTAATGAGATTGGATAGTATTGAAATCAAGATTGGTTTCAGGAGACCTTTCGAAAAAGGAAAAAGGGAAAAAAGCAAAGAAAACCAAGCAAATAAAAACCATTTCTTGTCTTATGTGCCCATCCCCCCCCCACTTTGGAAGAACACACAAAGCAGCCTTTGCCAACCCGGTGCCCTCCAGATGTTTTGGATTCCCAAACTTCTGGAGGGCACCGGGTTGGTGAAGGCGGACACAGAGGAACCTTCCAGAACCTTTTCCAAGAAGTGAAAGCTGAACAGAGCGCTCTGCGTCAACTCCCCTAAAGTCCACAACGCCCAACTGCCTTTTCCTGCTTTTGGAGCCAACAACGGATGACGAGAACCATTTCTGCGTGCTTACAAAACACACACACATACACGTCTTAAAACTCTCACCCGGTTTACTGTGTCAACAGCACAAACACACACACACACCCAAGCATCAGCAGCCCAACAGGCCAAAGGAAAAGTTGACAAAAAGTCAAGAGTTTCTTTTCTTTGAAAGCCATTCTTTAAATCATTTTCCTCCTGCGCAAACCATTTTGATCCACTCAACATCCCTCCACACTGACTGGCACAGAAGGCGTCAGATGTGAGGAGTTATTCCCCCTCCGAAAGAGAATCTAGTGTCTCTTTCTTTCTCAGTGCCCAACTCAAAGCAGCAAGTAGAGACAGGTTAGGCATGGAAGCGGAGCTGTGGTGAGAGAACTGGAAGAAAGATTATGAGGAAGCAAAGAGGCTCTCTTATAACACACGGATAGACCTGCAGCGGTTATAGGAGGCAGTGGAGAGGAAAGAACGAGGAGACCAACTCAAAATGGCTCCTTTAAGCCAAACTGCAAACACTCTGGACAGAATCAAGATCTCTGCATCCTCTAGTTAATTGCCAAAACCGTAATCCAAGAATCAAATCCCATCCCCTTTACCACTTCCACATCACACCATTATTTCCCATTTTAGCATTAAGAGAACAGAAATTACTGCTTTCCAATGTATGTGCTTTTAAATATCTGTTACCCCCCTGCGCTTAAACTGCCCCCTGTCCTTGTTAAACAGGGTCACAACCATTTATTTCTCTTTTAGCAGTGGGGAAGGGATAAAGATGGGAAAGAATTAAGCAAGGCACAGCTCACCAACAAGGAGGGAAAAGACATTTAGGATTCAGTGAGAGATACAAACCATGGGCTGCTTGGATCGCTCTTCATCTCTTGGTCAACTGAGTGCTTTCCACCCCCCTCGCCTAACTGCCGTGATTCAGTCATCACCACCGATCCCAAATCTGCCTCCTTTGTCAAGATCAGGGCACGAGAGACTAAGGTTCCCCCCCATTGGCTGCCTCCTATTGAATGCCTTGCAACTTTGCTGCTACCTGCCCCAACTGGTTTGGCCAGTTGTAAGGTGAACGTTTGGATTTGCGAGGTTTCAGCCATCCCCACCCCCCTCACCTTCCATCTCAAAGCAGACAAAACCTGATACTTCTTTTTTTAAAAAAACAAAACTTCCTTCAGTCTACCTGGAGAAAGAAAAGAGACAAAAGATAGAGGGGGGGGAGCACACCTAAGCAAGACGACTTAACTGCGGCTCAGTCACCACCATTAAACTCCCATTTAGTGCACCTCCACGGCGGGAATCTTTCAACCTACAGCATACGAGAACCGCGAAGCCATTACAACGACTTTGGCGCAAGGTGCCAGGTAACCTTTTCCCAACCCAAAACCGCCAAGGATCGTAAATCAATAAATACATGCATTGAAAAAGCAAGTCGCAGCAGGCCTCTTGTGAGTGACTTTGGAGGGTCGGCTCTTCCCACGTCTCAGCAATTTCTCGGGATTTCTCGGCAAGGAGTTTCGCAGGACGTAGACACGGCTGGGATTTGGGGTGTGTGTGTGCAGAAAGCACACAAGGAATCGGAACAGCTTTGCTATATCTACGCTACCAAAAAGAAAAGAAAATCCTTAAAATAAAATTAAAAGTTTTTTAAAAGGAGGGGGGAGCCGCGACGTTGCCCGGCCATCATGGAAGCCTCAAGCATCTTACTTGTTTAAGCTGGAATACAGGAGAGACGGAGAATGTCTAACGGCTCAGCTTACATGTACTTCCTCGACCCCTCCCTGAGCAGGTGCATTCTTTGCTCCCGACCAATCTCCTTGCCTCTAGCCATGAACAGGTGTGTCCTGCCATCTTGGGATAGGCCAGGCGGGGAACCGTCAGGCGTGATGTAGCCACGGACCCCACACAATAGGCTTTCGGAGCCTCCCCACCTCCAAAGGATCTTTTCAAATATCGGGGGGGGGGGAGAGGAAGTTAAGTTGATGTGTGACATATGCATACTGTATCTATCTACCTACCTACCAACCTAGCACGGCCCGTTGCTCCCATTTTCTCTCAACCTTCATATCTGTTGTTTTATTTAAGAAATGTAGGCTAACTGGTTGGAAAGGGGTCCCCGCCACCAGCAGGGTGTATAACCTTCTGGCAAAAGAAGTTCAGTTAGTCTCCCCCTCCAAGCTGCCACGACTGCCATAAGTCAGGGAAGGAGGGGAAAGTTTCAAATAAGGAAGTCACTTTCTGTAGCGTTCAGTCAGAGTCATCCAAGGTTGCAGGTTTCTTGCAGATGTGGGTTGATTAATTCCACCCTTCCATGATCTGCATCAGAAATGGGGAACCTCAGGCCCAGAGGCTAGATGTGGCCCTCCAGGCCTCTCCACTTGGCCCACGGATCCTGGCTGGAATGTGTCCTTAAATTCTGATCATGCCTCATGGTTGCCAGGATGGAGAGAAGTGTGTGAGTGTGTGTAGAAACGAGCCAACTGTATGAAGCTAAACATTTACATTTGTACCTTTGCCCGCTTCTGCCTCGGGCTCTGCCCACCCCTGGCATGTGGCCCCCAGAAAAGAACGTCCCTAGGGTTGCCATATTTCAAAAAGTAAAAACCAAGACACTCCAAAAGTCG